AAAAAAAAAATTAAGAAGTGAAATTTATAAGTATTCTGGACTAAGATGTTCAAAGTAGGGTTTGTGCTAAAACAGGATAGGTAGTACTATTATTGGACTTAACCAGGTTCAGGGCCGTCACTAACTTTTTAAGCAGGTAGGGTTGGGCATAAAGTAGCCAGGAAATCCAGCTGTTGTGGTAAAGTCAATATACTGTTTTTCTATCAAAATAGCAGGGGATCTGACTCAGAATTTCTGGGAGAAATCCCTGCCTTCTTGGCTCTTACTGACAACTCTGAGGGTTGGGACTTAGCCATGTTTCAAACAAAGCTCTTCTGCTTTGAGAGTTAGAATAACTAAAGGAAAAATTAATCATGCTCATGCATGCAGTTGTGTTTAAAACATGTTGAGTACTCCTCTTTTGTTTCTGTAGATCCACATAAAGGTATTAATAATAAATTTTATAATGTCTCATCTACACAGTACTATATTTCCACAGGAAAACCGTTTCACAAAATGTACAGACTGCACAAAGTATAAACAAGAGAAGGAGAAAACTATGGACAAAGCAAGATGAGCAGAGATTGATTGGATGCTTAAGCTTCATCTTGAATTGGTTTGGTAAGCATGCATGCATCATTGAAAGACATTTTAAGATTAACGAAAGGGCACACAGTGTGCTGTTTTACAAGTGGACTCCATTCTTGCAAAGCTGTGTATATTGCTGTGTGTAAAAATTTGTATTTGATAATGCCAAAAGGATGACATTGAATACATGTGACCTTTCAGTTAAATAAATATTTATTTCTAGCACTATGTGAAAAGAAAAAAACTACTGCTAAATAAAAAAGTACTTAAAAGGAAAGACAGTTTGTTTGTGGTGTAATGTTTTTCACATCATTATTTTGCAGGCAAGAAAGAAGGGTGTATTACCTTCATCGCTACAAGGCCAGAAAATTCCCAGAACGCTATATGGCAAGCACTGCAGATGGAATGGATCAGCATTCCACAAATATACCAAACCTTAAACGAATTAGCAAGGCCATGTTTGCCCTCACAACTGTGGGCACCCATCTTGTTGGTGCTATTGTACACAGTGGCCAGTCACCACATGGGAAGGAGGTTTATGGGTCATTTGATTTTTATCAATTCCCACATGACTCCAACCTAACAATGACTGTGCTGTTGGATACACTTGTATATTGGACTAATGATTACTTGCTGCCTCCAATTTTGTATCTCCAGTTTCATAACTGTGTAAGGGAGAACAAAACCGCTACATGTTTGCTCTCCTTACACTTCTCATTGAAGAGAAAATTTTTGAGAAGGTATGTGTATCATTGTCAGGTAATTATTTTATATGTCATGCAGCAAATGGAAGTAATTCATTGTATTCATCAAGTCATACCTTCAAAATGTCAGATATGCAAGTCAAAATATTGATTAATACAGATTTAACACTGTTGCTCTCACAGTAAATCAACTGGATACTCACAATAGACTGTACATTGAGTTACCACATGAAAAGCTACATTAGAATCTGTCTCCAAAATTCATCCAATCAAATAAGTTGTGTCATCATATCTCTTGTTACTTTGAGTACAAAACACTCATTAACAGTAGTTTGTGCTTGTCTGCTTATCATTTTTATTATGATTTGTTTTCTGTAGATCAGGGTAAATTTTCTCCCTGTTGGACACACTCATGAAGATATAGATGCCTTCTTTGGAGTATTTTCCAAGTTTTTGGACAAGTTAGATGTGTATGTAATTGAAGGTGAGACGATAAGCATTAATCATTGAATATTCTCTTCAGCCACCATATTTTTCTGGATGATGTGGATCTTGGTAATTCTGTCTTGATGATGGGAAGCATACCTACAAAGTATAAATTATTATTGCATTAAATTTTGTCATATTAATTTTTTTTTTTCAAGAATTGCTGAGGGCACTGTCATCGTGCATGAGTCAACCAACTCCGAGGCCATATCAGCTGCTGATGGTGTATGACATAAGGTCATGGATTGAAGAGTACACAGAGGAATTGCATGCACATACAGTTCCAAAGTGTTTCAAGTTTGAGCGCAATGATGCTGGCAAGGCCATGATGTTTTATAGGAACTGGAGCCATGAAGAGTGGCAGGGGCCAGTTGTTATCTTGAAGGTAAACATTTGCTGCATTGCTAGGGCGTTAGATGATCGCTTGAATGTGACGTTGCTTGATTCTCTTTTACCTGGAGACAACAAAGCTTTCAATAATTTACCAACTAAAAATGTAAAGAATCTGAATAAATTCTAAAATTAACAAAGGAAGTTCAAGCCAATGTACAAATCCCACATAATTTATACTGACCAGGTCTGTACATTTTTAAAATTAAAAAGATTCATTAATATACATACTGTCATGTAACATTAAGATTAAAATAATACATGTGCCTCAGCAACTCTATTTTTTTTATTTTTATACAGTCTTTACCCAATGGAAAGCCCAATCTTGTCACTCCCTCATTAGTAAAGTTGGATGTGGATGCTTTGAGGCGTGACATTCCTAGGTATCACCACAACATGCCAAAAGAAGCCGCAGATGCATGGGAAGGATGGCTCAATCAACTGGATGGACNTAGTAAAGTTGGATGTGGATGCTTTGAGGCGTGACATTCCTAGGTATCACCACAACATGCCAAAAGAAGCCGCAGATGCATGGGAAGGATGGCTCAATCAACTGGATGGACTTACACAGGTTCCTGAGAGTTACAATTGGCCAGTGGATGTGTTAAAGAAATCCACTAGAACAGAACCAGCTCCTCCAGTTGCTCAAATCTCTCCAGACTTGTTGGAGTTGCGGGAAAGGGAGACACAGCAAACTCAGGAGGTAAGAAACCAACCCCTATCATTCCAGTGTTGGGAGCTGTTATAAGTTCTGCAAGACTTGGCATTTTTAGAGCCCCTGTAGGGAAACTATGGAATGCAAACAGACAAGCCTGCAAAGTGTGCATGTGGTTCATAAAGTGGTCATTTGTCACGAACTGGCTTTCTGTGGTTGGAAGAACCTGAGATATGTCATTGTGCTGTGTTATCTGTCACTGTGGGTGAATAAAAATTAAAGTTATGGGGTACATAGAGCGGTTTTCAGTTGAGTGTCGAAAGTAATTACATGTAGACAATTACTTTGGTTTTGGTTTTGGTTTTACCACAGTTTGAGATTAGCTGAGAAATCTAATTGGTAAGTAATTGGTTTTGGTTTTGGTTTTACGACACTCAATTGAAAACCGCTCTAATCTTCAATTCCATCAGAGAATAGACCACTTTCGATATATTAAATTTCAGCTTGGCAGTGATGCTTAGAGGACACAAACAAAGGAAATTGAATGACCATGTTTATTCATTTCTTTTGTTTGTGTCCTCTAGGCCTCACTATCAAGCTGAATCCTAATATATTAAAAGTGGCTCATTGACAAGCACTTAATCTGATGGAAGAGGAAAATTGGGTTATATTTCTACTGAATATGTTCTAGCAGTGGCCACATGCAGTCATAGACATTTTCGTTAAGTGTATATAATTATATGCTACAGGTCAAATGTNAAGAGGAAAATTGGGTTATATTTCTACTGAATATGTTCTAGCAGTGGCCACATGCAGTCATAGACATTTTCGTTAAGTGTATATAATTATATGCTACAGGTCAAATGTGTTTTTTCATCAGAGAACATTCTATGGGAATTGAGATTTGACATAGTTTAAAAAATTTTAACCAAATCAAATCTGACCTACAACATTTTCATTTAGGTTTTTAAATTTCTTAACTTTGTGTTTGATTCTATAATGTCTACAGGTATATACTGGTCGGTACAGAAATCCACGGGAAAGACAAGATCCAGTTGAAATGACTGACAATTTTCTTGAAAACCTCCAGGCCGGGTGTTTTGTGGCTGTTTTTTTGGAAAACTTTGACAAGACTCCAGTCATTGGCAAAGTAATGTCTGTTGGGGATACCTTTTTTCAGTTACATTACTGGAAAGGATCTTTTGGTGGTAAATGGTCTCCCCAACATCTCCCACGGAGGAGAGCAGAGCCTTGGCTTGAGGATTTGCCAAAATCATGTGTTGTTTGTTGTGGTTTCGACCGCACAGAAGATGGCAAGCTAATGCCATCTACCAAAACCTTTTTGAAAAATAGGTATGCTGTTCTCAGAGAGAACAACTAATCACTATGACTCATTGATAAGTGTAAAATTATTTTTAGCATGTTCTCAACACTGTTCTGAAATTCAATTCGAAGACTCAGACCAAAATATTGTAACAGAGGGCCAAGCCTTTCTGAGTCTGTTTGAGCACTTTCTCTTTGTTTACTAAGTTTTAAGCCTAGCCATATGTAAATTTTACAGTGAAAAGGTCGATTCCTAAAGATAAATGAAAAACAGTTTATCGCCATAACTACTTCTTTATTACTGTAATCAAGACTTTTGCCCTCATTGCTGTAAACTTTTGTGACAATCTGTATGTCTTTCCCATTAAACCATACAGTGAATGAATAAATTGTTGTGGCACTACACCTTTTGTTTGATGGGGGTACCAGTGGGTAATGGGATGCAGAATTTCTGCAGCACCAGTCAGTGGTGGGTTGCAGAATCTCTGTGGCACCAGTCAGTGGTGGGATGCAGAATTTCTGCAGCACCAGTCAGTGGTGGGATGCAGAATTTCTGCAGCACCAGTCAGTGGTGGGATGCAGAATTTCTGCAGCACCAGTCAGTTGTGGGATGCAGAATTTCTGCAGCACCAGTCAGTGGTGGGATGCAGAATTTCTGCGGCACCAGTCAATAATTGGAGTTTATTAAAACATTTAAATAAGAGCTATTTAAATAAGAGTACCTATTTTGGCCAATAGGTACAGAGCTGCATTTTATATAATCATTTTTGGTGTTTTTTTCTCTGAATTTACAAAGTGTCCGCAAAAATGAGATAATCATTTCAAGCTAAAAAAAATTGTAGTCAAAATATGCATGTCGACAATAAATAGACCAATTTTGGAAAAACACAAAATAGATTAGAAGGTGTTTACAGTTTCCAAGCAAAAAATAACTGTTAAAATACCAAAATTCTTACTTTTATATTATGGCGATCCATGTGAACATTAAAAATACTGAACCTATAATTTTCCCTGACACTTTGTATTGGCCTGTGGCGATCATTATTGAAAAATATAAATTGGGCTCAACCAGATCGGTTTAGAGTTCTAAGAAGTACGTACGTAAGAAGAAGTACGTACGTAAATTTAAGATCGTTTTTGACAGGCTACACTTTGATGATGATCGTTTCTCCTTTGCCACCGATTGGAGCCGATTGGGCATTCAACTAATACCGTTTTTGCGTCAGCTGATATAGGACGATCTTGCTACCCATCAAAGTACAGTGTTTTGTAAACCCTTGTAAACCGCGGAACAGTATTCTAAACTGGTGTGGTTTATTTTACATGTAACTTTTGCAGTCAGCATAAGGTACACTGCCAAACTCCTGGGCTGGCCGAAACAACTTTGTTGATCTCCACCAATTCTCTAAATTATACTTCACTAGCAATTGATATAAATTCTTCCAGAAAATCAAAACCATATCTTCAGGAACAAGAATTGGTCCGTCATAATCATGGGCTTCTTTTCTGCTTGGTCTGCATTTCGCAGACCATGGCTTAGGTGGATGGTAGTGTGGAGCTACAGCGAAATGGTAAGAGTTCAGAGGTCTGTAGATAAGGAGTCGGACGTTAAATGAAAAGGACAGTGCCTTCCAGTTACCAGAATCAGCATAGTAATGCCACAGCAAAACTTGATCATCAGGACAAGTGTCTTTTCTTGTAGTGTCCTCCCACAGGCTCATAATTTCGTGGTAGTAGTTGCTATCTGGTCTGAACACCAGGAATCCTGCATTGAAGGCTGGATTCACCACACCTGGTCTAGACGAAGGAGCAGCGGCAAAGTCATCTGGAATGTCGAACAGTCGATCAATGTTTGTCATCAACATGTAATCAGCATCAACATAAATGATTTTGGAATATTCTGTGTAGTTCCAGGCGTGGAATCGCGTGTGTGTTCCCTTTATTCTGTATCCAAGTGGCTTTCCAAACAACCCACTGTTGCGGTCACCTCCCAATTTAGCATCCAGCCAATCACAGTCCATTTCTTCGACCAAACGAGTTTCCCAACCAACACTCTGAAGTGCTTTCCGAGTTCTCTCGTTAACCGTTTCTGAAATCAATGCGATCATGTTCTTTTGGCAAGAAAATGTGCGGATGGAGTGACCAAGAACTAAGGCAGAGGAAGCAAAATTCTCGTCAACTACGATTGTCAGCCATGTTATGTCGCTTCTTGATTTAACGTGCTGGTCTTTGCACCAGTCTTGGCCAAAACGACTTTCGATTTGATACATTCTCCATTCCTTATGAGCAAGCTCCATCTTGTTCTCCTGAAGTCTCTGTTCATAATCCCAAGATTCTGAAATAATTATCTTCGCATATGTAAAGAAATATGGAAGCAAGAGCGGTCTCCACACAAAGACAAAAATCACTATGATTAAGGTTGGAATGAGTGTTAGAGCAAAGATTTTTCGACGGGATCCTCTCTCTCTTTCTCGCGTATTCATCATTGGAAGGATTCTCACAGTTTATCGAAGGCGAACGTAGTTCAGTGGAAACAAGATGGCGTGGTTCATGTGGCTAACAACACGACATGCAAATTACTTTCACGTTGTACATCGAGAAGTCATCTTCAAGCAAGAGACGAAAAAGCCCTTTCTCCACTATTACAAAAATCTTCTAACATCCTTCAAACTGCGATGGAACACTGTCGAAATATAAACGAATAACGTGAGGTAACGCCGCATCAGCAACTCCGATAATTACTATTGTTATACTAGCTAGTATATTGACATGCAGCCTGTCAGGTTACTGTGGCCTGATCTGACGTCATATACCTTTTTTGTTCGTTCGTATAGCATGCTATTCATTCAAAATTTGTTCCTAGCTACTTGATCTTCTCTTGTGGAACATAACTTCTAGAAGGGCTAATGCTTCATGGATTAATACCCAGGACTATTCCCTGGCTTTGCTTGTGTTTATCGTTGACGTGTCGACTGCACGAATGGACCTGTTCGTTGATGGCACGCTTTTCTGATTTTTTCATTCAAACAGGAAAAAGAGCTGACCGCTTGATTTACCATGTTGAATTTAAAAAATAACCGAAGTTTCTTAAAAATCCGTCGCAAATGCCTGGGGTATGGGACCACAATAATGATAAACTAGGGTATCTAAAAGATAATAATGCTGCGGCACATTCTATTGATAGTGACATATTTTACGCAGTGACTCATCTACAACTTCATGCATGATGACACATGGATGGCGAGGTGTGACAAGGGATCGTGACAAAAAAGCATATAGTGATCTGACCCATGTTTGAACATAAAAAGATACACATCAATCTCCCCTTTACCAGATCTCGAAAATCGAAAGATGTGGAAGTTGTAGGAGCAGAAATCTAACTTATAAATTCTCTATTGATACGCATTAAATGTCTCAAGAATGTTGACAGACTGTGTCGAGGACGCGTCCATCGCGATGTGTGAAAATGCTAAAGCTTTAGCTTAAATTCAT